TGGATGGGGCGTTGGGCAACCTGGTGTAGTGGAGGGTGTCCCTGCCCATGGCAGGGGGTTGGAACTGGATGATCTTTGAGGTCCCTTCCAACCCAAACCATTCTGTGATTCTATGATTGTCGTGCTCAGTGCTGGTCCGTCAGCTCTTGCGGGGGGCCCGGGGTGCGATGCACATCCCAGGCTGCCCCCCACGCCCTGCGTGTCCCCTGAGGAAGCCTCATGACGTCATTCCAAGCGGGCTGGCAGCGTTTAGTCCAGGCAGTCAGAGAAAGGAAATAATTTTAGACCGAAGATTGCACTTTTATTTTAGGAATCCTGGCCGCTGTCGTGCGGCACGTTACAGCCCGCCATCACCAAGGACGTCCTGAAGCAGCACGAGTGCTGCCCATCGGCGGTGCTGCCGCGCTGTGATCCCTGCTGCCCACACAGCACGACGTGCTTGGCTTTTGGTCTGATGCTAAGAGGACAGCTGCAGCTTCCTAGGGAAGTGATTAAGTGATTGCATTTCAGTTTAAGATAAAAATTACATGCTTGAATCTTGAAATTTAGATTGTGAATATATTCCTGAAAGATAGAATTTACTAAAATCTTCTGTTGTGATTGCAGCCTGACGTTACAGATTTAAGGTTATTATCAGTTTATACCTTTTACCTGAAAAATATTCCCAGTTTGCAAAGGTACATTTTGCTGCATTGCTACATTTTGCCCTTTAGCATGTAGGGGGGAAAAAAAATCACCATGGCACTAGAAATGTGAAAAATTATGCTTTTAAAAACCCAGACATGAATATGCGCTTTGAAAACCCTCAGTCTCTGTAATGAAGAGGATTAAAAAAATGGAGAAGAGGCTGCTGCCTACTTTTGGCTTGTTTAAATATGCACAGAGCTTCCTCCATTTTAATCTTCCTTAGAAAAAGATGGCTGTGTGACTGAAGGTGGCAGCCCCTCGGAAACCAGTGTCGCTTTTGTGTCGTACAGCTCAGCTGGGCAGGGCTGGTGTGGAGTGGGGACCCCCTTCAGCCAACGGAGCAACCAGGACGATTCATAATTCATAAGTGCTTCCAGCCATCCAGCTGAATACGTTTGGATCAGTTCTCGGTTCTCCGTGCAATCCCGGATTTCGTTATTCTCTCCGGCGAGCGCGTACACCCACGTTCAGCCCTCCCCGAGGATGCTGTGCCAAGCCTGGCTTTGTCTGGGCTTAGCAACGGCCGGGCTTCGGAGCATCTCTGCCTGGGAGGAACGCTGATTTTTTTTTTTTTATTGATCGGGGAAGGGGGGTGTCCATGTGCCCGAGGAGCTCTCCTATCTGACCAACGATTTCTCCAGGAGGATTTGTGGACGGTGGCGTGGAGTTTTCCAAAATGCCTGAAGCAAACTATCTGTTATCTGTATCTTGGGGTTATATTAAGGTGGGTTTAAATCCTGCAGGATTATAAATGGTCGGGGGGTTCGTGCTGTGTTGCTTGGATAAAACCTCTGTAAGGAAAATATGCTTTAAAAATGGTTATTTCTGTGTACTCCGTGGCGAGAGATAAGTGTGTGTGGGTACTGTGCATGCGGCGTACATGTATGTACATTTTTTTTTTTTCCCCTTTGGGAATTCACTGTCACGGGATAAAATGATGCAGCAATGAAAATGTGTGATTAGAAAATTAGGAGGATCGTAGCATGTGTATCGGGGAGAGCAAATGCTTGAATCCTACATTTTACTGTAATGATCCAAGCAGATCTTCAGATTTATGGCATATTTCTCCTCTGTTGTGTTCTGAATATATGCAATTGTCTTTTACTTGCATAATTCAAAATGGAGCAAACTTATCCAGAACAAAAGAAGGTTATAGGATGTGGAATTTAAAACCAATACAAGAATTTGATCTTTCAGAGATGTTACCTGCAACGTTATCTTCTCGTTTGTTACTGCAAAAACTAATATGCTGCTTTGGAGGAAATTAATTTTGCAGTTTTAGTGTACTGAAAAGAAATATCTAGTCATGATGATGCTGAGCAGTATCTAAATGAATCCATATGTCTCTGACTCCGTTCCAAATATCTCCAGAATTTTGCTTTCAACATCTTTTTTTTTGTGGACTTGCTTGTGATGAAGCTGTATTCGTTTGGAAAAGCAGTCGGAAAAAATACCATCTTTGTGTTTGTGCTCTTCCTCTCCCCCCCCCAGTTCAAGAGGATGCTGAACTGACCCCCCTCTCCGAGATGAGCCGCTCCGGCAACCAGGTGTCCGAGTACATTTCCAACACTTTCCTGGGTAAGGCATCGCAGCCCAAGATTTCGGGCGACCCGAACGATAACGATTACTGGCATCCTAATACCCACCAGTCAGCCCAGTTTTCCTTCGGGGCAGAGCATTATTTAAATGTTTTGATTTTTCACTTTCAAAATGGATGGAGGGGAGGAAAATAACCCGGTGTTTGATTAAGTCTATCCACAAAAGAATTCCCTCTGCAAATCCCAACGTTTTTCTGCTCGGATTGAGTTAAGCTATTGGTAGCTGCATTATGCAATATTTGATTTTTGCGTTGACCTTACGGAAAGGACAAAGTGACGGAAGCCCATCTGCATACTGTCATCTGTGCAACCACTGCCTCGTGCAGCTGCCTTACCCCCCGCACAGGGACAGGGTTCAGACAAGAAGGTTGAGCCCAGAGATTTTATATATTAAATATTTACTCATTTTGCACTGGAAGGCAGAATAAAGAGTAAAGAGAATATTTTGCACGTCATTAGTTTTGTTGGAGCTCGTAGGAATACTGGCATGGATTAATCCTCTGTGTTTACAAAATGCACTTGTTACAAAAAATATGATGTTCTGTGTTTTCAGAATTTGTGACTGTTTGCATGTAGAAGCTTAGCACAGAACCCTCATATACGTGTCTCTGAGGCCAACAGCTTCAAACGCTGAGGGTACGTGGGATGCTGGAGCTCATGACAGCCTCATGCCCTGCGGCTAAGATGGCCCAGAACGCGTTCACTCCATGACACACAATTATTTCCATTAAGGGATTTTAAAGTGATTTCAATAGCCAGTTGCAACTGGCACTACTGCGAGCATTTAGGGCACATCACATCATTAATAATCCATGTAAGTCCGTAGCTGCTTTGTGGGAACCCACTGGCCCTTTCTTGCTGCTCAGCTTAAGCATGACATCCAGAACATGAATTAGCACAGGGAAGAGGAGCAAGGCTGCCTCGCTGCCAGCCAGCTGGCCACTTCTTCAGCTGGAGAGCCCGGAGCGTACGCAGTGCGCCGGGAAGCGTGACCACCACGGTGTTTTCAGGGAGTTTGTTCTTCCTCAGCCCTTGCCAGTAAGCATATGTCTCTGGAGTGGGATGTGCTGCAGCAGAAATACCCAACGTGGCTCGATACTGTGGACCTGGTATAAAACTAATAAACCACACGCACACTCGAGTTAGTGGGGTCTGTATCTCAGCGGGGGCTAATTAGCTGAAGCTGGTGCTGGTGCTAATGGGGCTGTATTATTCCCCGTGCTCAGGCTGGGTCAGGTAACTGTGTTTCCCTTTGCACGTCTTGACAATGGTCTTGTTCATTCCTCTCCTGCTTCTTCTCACGTATCGTGCGATGGTGACATCCTCGCCGCTGTGTGCGGTACGAGGGCCGCTCAGCCGTGTAGGGCTGTGCCGGTGGCGAGTGGTGCGGGCTCTCCAGATTGGGCCAGATTGCAGCTCGATTGCTCATGTTAAAAAGAAATGAGTAAAGCTTTTAAAAGGATCTTGAAGCCTTTTTAGGAAGTCATGCTGTTGCATTTTTATGAATTACTCTTTTCCCCCCTAAAATTTGGTTTAAAACCAAATGAGCACACAAAATAACTTCCTCCTCTACAACTGAGCAAGTCGAACAAACAAAACCAAGAAATATGTGGATAGGACATTCATTTATTTCCAGACAGTGTTGGTTTGTTAGATGGGGATAACTTACAGATATTAAAACCAAATGACATGACTTCATTCAGTCTCTTGACTGTATTATAATAAACAAGCTGAGGAAGGCACCAAGAAGCAAAGTCTTCTGCAGAGCAGCCAGTCCTGCAGCCACCACTCAGCCAGTGAGAGCAGGGACACCAGCTTCAGATCTGTACAGAGGACAAAGATGGAAAATGGTGGTTTAATCGTTGGCCACATCACGTAAACGGAGAAGATATAAGAAAAGAAATTTTCACTCTGAGGGCAGTGAGGCACTGGAACAGGTTGCCCAGAGAACCTGTGGATGCTCCATCCCTGGAAGTGTTCAAGGCCAGGTTGGATGGGGCTTTGGGCAACCTGGTGTAGTGGAGGGTGTCCCTGCCCATGGCAGGGGGGTTGGAACTGGATGATTTTTGAGGTCCCTTCCAACCCAAACCATTCTATGATTCCATGATTCTAAGATCATGATGGCCTTTCAGCACATGCCCTTTCCTAGGAGGCAAGGGATGTTGCTGCATGAGTTAACCAGTTAGAGATTTCTGTGCAAAAATGTCCATTATGCACTACCTTGGTGTAGTCATTGCTAAGGAGACTGTATAGAGGAAAGTCCTTCTGTTGTTCAGCAAAAACACACAAGGGAAACACCCATTGATGTCAGCTTGGCTGTTGCTGTGAATAATGGCTTCCTTCTTAATTGCAGTGTGCAGACACACTGGTCATTCTTATTTCAGAGATTTTTAATTAAGCCAAGGCAAAAGTAACTAATGCCTAGATGCCTAGTCCCTCCAGAGGCCCTCAGAGATGCAAAGGTACAAAGAGCTTGTAGTAGCCTTTTCTAAAAGTCCATTAAAAAATGGTTAGTGTGAAAGTAGTGAGCCACTCTGTCTCCATTTTGATGCAGAAAATACATCAGTGGTACAGGCAGTATGTAGCATATGCAGATAAATTTATTTGTTAAACACATCTCCACAGCCAAGTTCGTGCCCCACTAGGTGCCTACTTGTTGTTACTGACTCTGAGCATGACAATAGAAATATGGCCTGTGCACTGTATGTTGCTCTGTACGTATCTGTAAAGGGCAGACCGTTAATAAATCAGTGACACCAGTTTGTTACTGGGTTGATGTTTTAAGAGCAGGGGATGTGGAGATGGGTTTGGCCCTGATAAGTATCACTAGAGTTAATATGAAAATATATGCTTATGTGCTTCGTTGAAGAAAAATGTGTTGTTTGAATATATATTGTATTTTCGTGAAAATAGGTAATAAAAATTAATTGAGATCTAGCCATTAACAGAACCCGGTGGCCTTCAGGCATGGCGAGCTAGCTCCTGGACATGTGCCGTGTCCCCAAGCGATGCAGCTTGGAAGTGGCTACCAGGAAAGCAGCCTGGCACTTCATGTCCCAGCAGGGCTCGGCGGGACTGTTCAGACTTGCAGAGGGCAAACAGGGGTTATGTGACTCTTTTGCCTTGATTTTGATTCAGTTCGGTCCCAAAATTAGGGAAAGCTCCCAACAGAAATACATGGGTTTGAACTGGTGTGCAGAGCCACTTCATCAGCAAAGCTGAGAGTTGATTTTGGGGGGGG